TTTATTATAGTAATTAAATAAAAGATAATAGGACAACAAAACGTTTCACCGCTATCAGCAAGGAGCATGCTCTACATTATTGTTGGAACAACACGCAAACACATAGTATCTTTTGTCCGTGTTAAAATGTATCAGAATTATACATATATATTATTTTTTATGTAATAGGAGGCAAACGGGCAGGAGGCTCATCTGATGTTACCTCCGCCCATGGACACTCACATTTCCAGAAGTCTCGCAAGTGCATAGCCGGCCTTTTAAGAATTGGTGCGAGCTTAAGAACCTAAGTCAAATTGGTTCGGAAATACTTCAGTGGGCAGCTGGTTCCACATAGCGGTGCAGTGGTGCGCGGCAAGAACTGCCTTAAAAAATGCTCAGTTGTAGAACGGCGGATGTCGAGGTGATACAGATCAACTGCGTTGAAGTTCTAACACCTAATAAATAATCTTATAAATTTACATATTTTGATATTTAATATTATAGTTAATCTTCTCAATATTCTTCGTTGTTTGCTTATCTTCCGACATAGGCCTCCAGATTTTTACTCTGACTGCGTGGTTTTAGCTTTTAAATAAAGCCTTGTATGTATACACACATCTTATCGTAACTATAGGGTGGCAGGGCTGGCAAAATGCCACGGGCCCCGACCTAAGAGGGCCCCTGCCCAAGAGATACGAGTATTATGTTCTATGAATGAATTTGAAGTCTCCATACGCATTGGACTAGCGTGGGGACTTCAGACCATTCCCATGCCCATGTCCATTAGCGGGACATATACAACGTGTGAATGAGAACGCTGAAAATCTCGAAGTTTATTATAATTAAACTGAGTAGGGAAGATTTTTACTGATAGGGCCCCATTAAAAGAATTGCCTCGAAAAAATATTAGCCACGAGCCCCAGATGGTATAGTTACGCCATTGCATCTTATTAAAAAATTTAAATGAGGCTTGAACCAGTGTAATTACTGTCAAATGGTGCGAAAAGGAAAACAGTGCAATACTAGTTTGTTTTGTATGATTATGTTTATAAATAATGGAGCAACATGAACAATTGCTCAGAATAAATATTATTTGTGACGTAATTTTCGCTGGAACTTTTTATAATTTAATTAGTTAAAATACTAAGCAAGAAAATCGTCATAGCTAAGAATAATTTAATTCTTTTAGGCCCTGAGGCTTTGTCAAAGCAATAATTTGATCACGAAAAATCTGTAATGAGCGTAGACTTTCACAATCCTTATAAATCATAATTTAAGATAGCTCAAGGCGATCAGTCAACCTGCAGCGTTATTTTTTCATTATAACGGAATGGGTTTGATTTTTCTGGAAACGCTGTTATGAAATTAAATTTCTTCTTCTTTTTATAGTTAGCATATACGCGAAAAATTATTACAAATTTAAAATTACACATCGGGTTACCAGACACTTTTTTTGATTATAGAAGTTGTTATAAACATGTTGTTGTTGCTAAGTTAAGTTGTTATGTTGTTGTTGTAATTGTTATGACCTAAGCATTTGATATCTCAGTATTTATATCAATATAGTAGGTACGTTAAATAAATACAACTTGAACCTTTGCTTTGTTTGTATTTGTACCTTTAATGCTGGCAGAATTTCCTCGCTGTATGCGATACTTACTTGTCGAGTGAGAAAAGCACCAGCTCTGCGGTCACCGGTACTATCTACCAGGCGCTTACTTAAATCTTTAAATAGCGCCTCTGCACTTAAACCCCACGGCCCAAGAATCTCTACTCCGAAACGAAATCAATGTTTTTTTTTTAATATTTTAACCAAAAGGATAGACAGGGCAGCTAAGACAAACCCAAACAAACAAATTGACGTACATACAAAAAAATGTAAAGCGGTGCCACCACCAGCAAAGTTGGAGGAAAGACTTCTATTTGAGCCGATTTTTTCGCCTGCTCTGTGGCCGCTCCAGCTTTTTTTGCTTGTCCGAGGGTTGTGAGACGAAGCTGACGTGTCCACACAAACATCCACATACCAAAGCCCGTTCCATCATCCAAGGGATCAAAGATATCCCATCCAGCCGCTTGCCATCGTCTCTAGCGATGCCCGTTAGCTCCAAAATTGCTGGAACTTTGAAAAAGACAAGAGAGCGGCGTTTGATGTCGTTGAGCGCAGCGTGGTGAGAAAAACGACCTCAGTATTTATATATTATGCACGTTTAAGAAATACAACTTGAAACTCCTGCCTTTGAGTTTTCAATCAGTCAAAAAGAAATTACACTCTCATTACGCATTTAACGTTTATTAATTTAAGTGATTATGATTTTTAAATTTACATTTAAAAAGTTAAACATGTAATAATTTAGAAATGTATTTCCTAAGTATACACTCATAGAATAATTAATTTCCAAAGCTTTAAGATATCCGTTGCACCTGTTACGTCTGGGTCACGCGCCGACACTAAATTATGCGCCATTTGCTGGCACTCACGATGGACAGGTACGTATTAGGCTCCTATTTAGAAAAACATGCATCTTTCAACATGACTGTGACTTCCCCTGTTTTTAAGGTCTACGTAATATTAAGGTCCCTATTGTGCACCAATGAATTTTTCCATGTACGCAATTCACTTGCTCCTGATAAAGGAAAGCATTGATTTGTGTCCCATATGTAGCACTATTAAAACCTCTCGTTAAACGTAAATTAATTAATTAATATTTTTATAAATTTGACTGTTATTTAAATGATCCTAACCCTTGGGATTGATTTGCTCCTGTTCAATCAATTTGTATGACTCAAAACTTGGCGATTAAAAAGAGTGGCGGAGAGTTTCTTGCCAGTTCTTTCTGCCCTGCGCTCTTGACTTGTGAACTCGTAGTAAATGTAAATTTAGAATAATTCATAAACACTAAATCGATGTTTTAAATTCGTGTTCGTATCTTTCTGTTAAACTTAACAATTTGGCTACTATTTGCAAGCCGTCAGATGAACCTGCTACTGCTGTTAGAAAAAAAAGTTTTTGTTGTGTTGAAAAGACATTGATCGATCTAGTAAAATATGAATATAAAATTGGAAATATACATCTATTCTATGGCCAAATTTAATTTTATACATTAATAATTATTACACTGTATCTACAATATTTTTAGTTTTTAGAGGTATAAATTCGCTTCGCAGGCCCGCGCCATGAATGTTGCCGCGGAGACTGTGGGGCTGGGTCTACTCTCAAAGCTTTCTATATTTATCTGAATCAATGGCGCTACAACGTTTTTAAGTCTGGGCCTCAGATTTCTGTATCTGTTTCATGATCATTTGGTAATCTAATAGGATAAGCCTTCTGTGCCTGACGCCGTTTGACTTTTTTCGGTCTAAGGCAAGCTGGTTTCCTCACGATGTCTTTCTTCACCGTTCGAGCGAATGGTAAATGCGCATATAGAAAGAATAGAAGCCGGGGATCGAACCTACGACCTCAGGGATGAGAGTCGCACGCTGAAGCCACTAGGCCAACACTGCTCTATATTTATGTACCCAAGGGAATATTCTTAACCTACATTACCTTATTCTTAACTTTCTTATATTATATTATAATTCACAGCTTTAAGTTTAAGTGAGGAAGCAACATTTGGGCCCTTAACATGAATACGCGCCTGGCATTCAAGTATGTAATTGATGCTAGAAACGTTACGCAACAATACCATTAGATTTTTAAGTTAATAGACATACGATGAAACCGTCAATGTAAATAATTAAAATGTTACCATTCCATATTTATTAAATCGGAGAACGTGGTACTTTTTGTCTTTGCAGCTTGCGGCAGGATATTTGGAAGCAAAAGAGAGGAAAGTTTTTAAATTTTTATTTAAAATACGCTTACCTAAATACAATATTTACAAATCTTAGTTATTCATCTACTTAGAATAATAATGTCGAGTCACTGTTATATTAGGTTAGGCAGTATTTTAGCTGATTCGAGTATTGAAGGGATTTCACCCCTATAAGGAATTATTTAGAAAAACGTAAAATCTAACTTAAAGTAACGAGAAAATTTTATACACATATGCTTTAGTTTTATCGTTAAATATCTAGTTCTAAATAATTTACATATATAATTTATAAGGAATATTGCTTCAACATATATTTTCGTGTTATACTATTATTTTTTTTAAAAGGTTTAAAAACATATCAAAACTGTTACGGTTATCAAGTTTTATCAATTACACAAATTAGTCAATATATTCGAATAAACTTTTATAACTCTAAGGGTCTGTTTCACAATGTATGGATAAAGTACCAAATAGCTATGCAAAATAAATTATTTGGATGATAAATTGTGCTATTTGACATTCATCGGACTCATAACTTATGATGGACTTTATGTGACGAACAGCGCTATCTGACAGTCGAGAAACGCAACAATAGTGTTTATACTACCAATAAGTAATTAGTAGCTAATTTGGAACTTATGTAGAACTTATCCGTACATTGTGAAACAGACCCTAAATAGTCCAGATTACATAATGTATTATTTCATATGACGAATTATATAAAATACATATTTTATGAATTCCTTACATTAGATATCTGGAAACACTATACATTACAATGTACTAACAGTAAACTTAATAGTCGAAATTGCCCAAGTTTACGATAGTATAAAAATAAGTACAAAACTCAAATAAAAAATTTACATTATATCACACGAACTGTCATAAAATCCGTCATTAATAAATATTTAATTTTAAGGTGGAAGAACGGTGCATTTGTAGAAAGTGACGTAATCATTATTTTTGTGTATTAACTATTCATTTTGAATAACAGCCGCCATTGCAGCGTAATAATACATTCAGTTGTTTATGAGAAATATACAACCCTGTTTAAAACGCCTTAGTTGAGTTAACGAGTTTTACAATACTTTGCCAAGCCAAGATTTTCACCAAATATTTTCGGTAAGAATCAAATTTTAATCAAGACGTCTACTTTCTACAAATGACATTTATGAAATAAGTTCTACTTTCCTATTTCTACTAGTTTCCTTATCTTCTAGCAGCTGGCGCTTGTGTGTGCTGCTGGCAACCTTCGACATTTTCTGGCCAATCACAGACGTTCTCATTGGGATTGAAGACAAGGTTAGCGGGGCATGGCATGTGGTGTTTTCTCTCTCCCTCGCACATGTAGTACATTGTACAATCCGCATGGTCTTTGTGATATGAGATGTGGCCATCTTCTTCTTCGCAGGTCACTTCGTTGGCTGAGAATAAAGGTTGAAAATTAAGTCTTATGAGAGTGCAAGTGTTTTGACTGAGTCTAGTGAAAACATAACTTTATTTCAAGAATTAGCTTCATAATTTTTGCGACAAATAAATAATTGGGACAATTTATATTTATTGTTAGATTCTTTATATTAAATTTTTTTACCTAAACATTACCTAATAATAATTAATTAATTCCCGAAATAACGAAAATGTTCATTTTTTAATGGGGTTGCCGACCTTTCAGTTACTTAAATCGGTTTGGAAATACCTCTGCAGCTGGTGCCACAAAGAGATTCATAACCAAGTATAGATTATAAATATGGCTTCTTTGTCATAAAATGACATTCCTCCAAAAACAACACTAACATTAGAAACAATTTACTGTGATAATTTTTCCCTAACGCACCAAAAGAAGTATAACTTCAAAAAACCTAAAATGTTGACTATAGCTAACTTCAGGGTGTCGGTTTTTGCGCGGTGCGCGCGCATCGTACAAATTTACTCTCATAAAAACTTACGATTTTTAGTAGTGTACTGCCCGCTTCCCACTGAACTTTCGTATGGTCCATCATATTCCAGTCTGACTTTGTATTCACCCAGTTCCTGTTTCATGGCTGTAATGAGAGGATACTTTCCGGTGCCACATGAACCCCTGAAGTCGTCCATATCGATAGACCAGACCATGATTCCACCGAAGCCTTCTTCTTTAAGCCATGCCATCTAAAAAAATCACGCATTATAAATACGCTCAAGTTCAAGTTTTGATATCTTATTTTATGACCAATAATACTTCATTAGAGCGCCACTGCAACATGATCGATGTGTCATTAAATTAAGATAATTTCCCTTTTGGAGAATATTTTCGTTAAAATAGCCTCATACAATATATAATATCAAGAACATTTAAATTTACTAAACGTGAATAACAATTCTCTTTGAATTAAGGGTAATCTTGAAATCTTTGACTACACATTTTGATTGAAACTATTGGATTTTGTGTATTTTTGCGTTATCCACGAAGCAATAAACATACACATACAACTAACTATATGCATAAACTATTTCTGAGGTTCTAAGTCCAAACTTACAACACTTAATAAAACATTAAATACATAGGAGTAACAACTATGTATATATATTTACTTTAAATGCGATAACTACAGATATTAACAGATTTTAAAAAACAGTTACCTTCGTCTTCAGTGATCTCTCGTCATCAAAACCCACCCACTGGTCATCTCTGTAAGCGAATGGCACCATCTGTTCATTGTCCCATACAAGAGTGGTATTATCCTCTCGAAGGAAGTCACAGATTTCGTAATAAGACATGAAACCAGCTTCATTTGTGTATCTTCCGGTTTGACCTGTTTTACAAAAAGCTTAGAAACTTCTTCACGTAAATTTTTAAGTTATGTACCAAAATAAATTTGTAAATTGTTTCTCAATGTTTCTCTGATTGCTTTAAAGTAAACAAACACACAAGATTTTTTAAGTGGTGGTTAATTGACTGCAAGTAGTGGTTCTAGATTTGAATTTCTTGGCAAACACGTTTCAAAGAGGGCGAAGTTAGTAACTTCAGATAAAAACCTTTCATTTTCTTTATTCATTTTTAAAACATATTTTGAAAAAAATCCAGTCTTGCACATTATTATGGCTGCATTATATTCTTGTCTATACTAATGTTATAAGAAAAGACGTATTTTTGCATGTTTAAACAATTAAAAAACTGGGATCCGGTGAAATATACGGCATAGATAGATCATGTTTTAGTATTTATTACAATATACTGGGGCAGGTCCAGTAATTATTGGAAACCTCACCTCCACCAGACGCAGGCGCACCGATATCGAATTGCGTGTCATTGACGAGAGTGAATGATCTTCCATACGTCGGCATACCGATCATAAGCTTCTCTTTTGGTGCACCTTGTCGGACCCACTCACGCGCAGAATAGTCCTGTAATCAATGAATAGCTTACAATAGGCAATGTTATTTATAAGGGCTTCAGAATTATTCATGGCTTAAGGCCCTATCCCAGCACAAATTGCTGTGTCAGTGTCTCGGGGTGGACTGCGGTGCGCAGTGGAGAGCTGGAGCACTGAGGCGCGCCGGCCCGTAATAACAATTAGTTATGTAAAACATTAAATTAATGTAATTTTATCAATTTTTTTTCTCAAATGGATTTTAGGGATTGAGGATGAGGATAACATGGCTTGCGATAAAATATATTGTGTGATTTTCAAAATCATGTTCTATATACATTTTCGTCATAAAATGAATTCAAAGTGTAAAAATTGACTATGTTTGGATTTTTTTCAAATGTTCATGAAACAGATTCAGTATTGTATTGTAAATCTCTATACTTGTGTGTTATAAATCTATTTTTCTTTACAATATCTTATATTTACTTAATTATGTTAAGTAAAAAAAAGATTTTTAGTAAGTATAATAATATTTATTTTTATTATTAGTCATAATAATTACAATTAAGGAGGTATTGGGAGACTGGTTTTCAAGCTAGGTAAGCTGTGATATGGATAACCAGGCTTCCATTCCACAGCAGTCATATTGAGTTATAACAAAAAAGTACATATATGGGTAGGCAAACAAAATTTAAAGTTTCTAAAAAAAGAAAAACTAATCAAAACAGTCAACTAGATTCCTACAGAAATAGAGTTGTATGGGTATAAGTGTGTGTGTCATGAAGAAAATAATTACCACAGTAAGTTTCTTCTGGTAGCTGGTGGCGCTCTCAAGAGGGAAGAGTGGACTATTGTGGCCAACTTGTCGTTCCCACTGCCCATGGAAGTCATATGTCATAACGTTGATGAAATCCTGAAAAGGAGGAAGAGGTTTATAGATACGATAGTTTTATCTAAATATGTATATAAAAAGTCGTGTTAGTTACACCACTTATAACTCAAGATCGACTGGACCGATGTTAGTAATCTCATTTTGGTGGATTTTTCTCCGCTCCGAATAGCAGTATAATATTATATTATAAATAAGTAAATTAATTTTACGAATTTACGCCATCTGTTGACAAAACTTCGCATCATTTTACATCGAATTCGTGTCAGCTAAAGAAATTCCGATCGTGAGGTGAATGAGGAGATACATAACCAGGCTTTGATCTTGATCGAAGACATGTGTTACCTCATCAAAAAAGGTTGTATATCAGGAAGTGCTTTAACATGCAGTAGAGGCCTAATGTATAAAACTGCCATTCTTCTTTGGCAATGGCAAGCAATAAATCATTTCTGTATTTGCAAAAAATGTTATTACCTTAATGAAATTCTAAATTAAGTTTAACTAAAGTTAACACGATATTATTAGACTGCTAGGCGGAACGAAGTTAGCCGAGTCAGCTAGTTATAAATAAATGTGTCTTTTCATCAGGCGGCAAACTGATAGGCTCATTCGATGTTAAGTGATGCCCATGAACAAAGACATTGCTAGAAGAGCGTTGCCGACCTTTTGAAGATGACACTTGCGAAATAAGTTAAGGTTAGGTCTTTAATGTTTTTGAACATTTCAAAATTATTTAATATTACTAGCTGACCCAGCAAACGTTGTTTTGCCATGTATATTATTTCTAGGAAACATTTTTTTAGTTCAATAAATATAACTATCTAATATAATAAAAAACAGGGGTTGATCGTAGAGGGGTGAAAATTAAGGGTTGTGTGTACTTTTGTATGTTGTATCGTAAAATAACAAAAAATTTGGTTTAAAAAATAAAATTAAACATTTAGGGACACCCTTTTGACTTTTAGAGGTTTGAAAGATAGATAGTAGCTGATTCTCAGACTTACTGAATATGCATTAAAAATTTCATAAGAATCGGTCGAGCCGTTTCGGATGAGTATTGGAACGAACATTGTGACATGATAATTTTAGATATAGAGATATTACAATTACTAACAACAATGAAATAATGTCGGATTAGTTCACTGAATCGTTCCTATCATAAAATAATTATCTAATAAATGCGTCATATAAAAAAGTAAAAAAAAAAACGTGTAATATACTTTTAGAACATGTAATAGCTAACTTGGCAAAATTTATGAAAATTGATTAGAAACGGAAGTTTTCACGTCGCTTCTCAGAAGGTAATCCATTAATCATTTACTCATTTCGAAGAAATTATTGAAATGTACTGGCAACGAAATATTTACCGTATAATAAAATTGTGGGTAACATTTATTGTTAAACAGCTACAATCAGAAACAAAGAATAATTCCTTACGATAGTTATGTGACCTAACTAATTATAATTAATTAATAATTAGAAGCGCAAACCAAATGTTAGCAATCATCGCAAACTCGAAGCCAAAATGAGCCCTTTGGTTTTTGGAGTGTAGGAATATGGTAATATATATTTACCATATTTCGGAGTTCCGAAGAAAGCTTAATTGGCTACCCATTCGATTTTTTATGAAAATATGTTTTACGCATATTTAGTAAGTCTGAGAATCGGCAACTATCTATCTTTCAAACCCTAAATGTTAAGGATGGGTCCACCCCTAAAATTTATTTTTATTTTTTTGATAATTTTTTTTTTTGATACAGCATACAAAAATACATACAACCCTTAATTTTCACCCCTCTACGATTAACCCCTATTTTTTATTTCTAATTAAAAACTTATGAACTCTGAGGTTTATAAAGGGAAAATAAAAAAAATCACAGAGAAACCTAAAAAGTTTTGCATTCCAGAAAAAACTAACAGTCTCTGGGGTAGCATAGCAAAATGGTCCATGTTGGTAGGTACTAAAAAGGTAGGCTAAGTAAAATGACATTAAGAAGAAACGAAGTTCACGGGGGCAACTAGTTGTATATATCATTTTCATTTCCGATAATGTCCAATAGCTCACCTACATTCATAATCTTTAACAGAAGTGTCACTTAGATTTGAGAAACCTTAAATAAGTCAAGAAAGTATTCTGTTAATCCAACGTCGCAACCCACTACCTACAGCCCGAGCTGAGCTGTAAAGGCCCTTAAGGCCAACAGCGAAATTCCATTTAAAAAAAAACATTAAAGCCAGTTGACACTTCAACAAATTCACTTCAAACAAAGAGTTTAATTTATTTGAACATCCCTCCAACAACCGCCACCGAACTTTACTCGTTTCTATAAAATTTTCTCAGTAAATTAGAATGATTTGAGCTAAGTACTTCTCACTTAAGTAACTTTGTACTATAATTTACAATTTTGTTTAAAAAAATCAGCCGTGTCAAGCATCTTTATTCACGCGTTGAACCTCTTATATAGATTCGATTTCCGGCCAATCATTTTTTGAAAGAAGATCTGCTCTTCTTAAATATTTAAATAAAACTGTTCGTAAACGCGAATTTATTACATTAAATGCATAATTTGACATTTCCAGTGCTTTAGCGTGTTTAATGAAAGTAATATATTTAATATTAAGTAATTTATTCAACGAATAAGTAATAATAAAATTTAAATTTGTTTTAATTTTCTATTTATAAATTTTTAATTATTATTACTATGTAGGTAAGGAATTTTTAATACTGTATTAAATATTTAACTATATAGTACCTAATGACTCCCTAGCGTTAAAAAAAGATTTCGATGATAAATAACTTACCAAGTATTTAGAAATCTCCGGTACATCATAACCGGCTGCAATAGCTTCGAAAGAAGCTGGGACAGCTGCTGAGAGGAGAAGACGTGGTTGACCGGAAGATTTCGCTTCACCTTCGAATGCTAAACGTAGTTCTTTGAGGAGAGATACGAATGCTGCGCGATCGTCGGCTCCTCTGTAATTCATACACATGATTAGAATACACACTTCTGCAATTAATATATATATATATATATATAATAATAATAGAGGATAAACGGGCAGGAAGCTCACCTGATGTTAAGTGATACCGCCGACTATAGACACTCACATTGCCAGAGGGCTCGCAAGTGTGTTGCCGATATATTATATATCAAATAGAAGTAAATATTCAAATTTATTCATTTATTTAGTAAATTACAATACTATATTATTAATATAAATATATAATAATACTATATTTATATTCGTTTACATTGATAAAATATGTAAAAATTACACAAAACGTTAAAAAATAAATATTACGCTATTAAAAATGTTCTATACCTTGGGTACTCCCAGTCAATATCAAGGCCGTTGAACTGGTAATCTCTTAGGAATTCAATAGCTTCATACACGAACTGGTTCATCCTGAATACATTGGAGGTGAGTTCTTTGAAAGGTGTTGATCCGAACGCCCATCCCCCGATGGCAAGAAGGATCTAAAATTATTTAAATATTTTATTTTGGAGTTGGCCACAAGCCCATCTGATTTTAAGTAAAATGCGGCCTATTACGCGGTACCCCTATCCAGGAGACGCATATTTAAGCGCCGCTTATGTGAACCCTAAACTGTCAATTTGCTTTAACTCAATTTATAGCGATGGTGATTTTCTGGCTCGGTCTAGAATCGCAATACCAGGAGATGCAACAATAGGATGCACTCTATAATGCCGTTCGCAGTTCGTTCTCGATCTGATGAAATCTTCGTAAATAATTTTGATTCGACCGGAACGGTCCCACCGTTACGGACGCCCACGTTGTTTTAAATTAAATTTTTACCAGATTAACATCAGACCGCCAATCGTGAACGGCATTATAGTGTGGAGCTATATGAGACCAAAAATCTTAAATTTAATTTACTGATTTTATGTATTAAAAAGATTGGCGAACGCCCTTGACTTGCGAACTGGTAGTAAAAGTATATTAAAATCAATTTAACATCTTTTCTATTGACGTTCATAAGTGTACTTAGTTACCGATATGAATAAAGTTATTTTGAGTTTGAGTTTGCGTTTATAAGTTCTAAAAATTAAGGTTCGTTTTGTTAGAGTTCTAGTATTTGTATTTGTATGGCCATTTGGGAGAAAGCCTTGTCTATATTTTTCCTTATATCTCATTATAAATATTAATTATTATTAAATTGCTAAAAAGTTACATAAACGTGTAAAGGTATTTACATAAAACCAATTTTCAAGATTTGTGCAATGCGTAGTCAGCACATTTATACATTTAATTCACTTTTCATTTGCACGCTATTAGCGGATAGATAAACAACTTTAGAAAACAGAACTCTTAAACATTTATAACTTTAGCGATGAATGCCTGTTATTTTTATATTTATTTTAATTTAATAAATAAATAGAAATCACTAGCGTAATCTATATTTAAATAATTGTATAATTTAAACGTTTCATATATTAGTGTATAGTAATTTAAGATATACAAAAGAAATATGCTTAATTTAAGAAATATAACTAAATATTAAAAGATTTTTGAAGGACAAATTATGCTTACTTTCAAATTAGGATTTTTCTCTCTCAGTCCAACTACTTTGTCGTACATGTCGGCATCTTTTTCATCCCCTTCTGTCAGCTTATGGTCTTTCAGAGTTGCGAAAGCATAGATAACGTGTGTACATAGAGTTGGGTCTACGTTCTCTGGCATAAAGCGTCCAGCACTGGGTCGTTTTGATGACCATGAGGTCAGGTAACACAAAATTTGGGGTTCACGTTCTGAAAAAGGAAACATATTTAGAAATCACATTAAGAAAAGTTATATACTAAGATCTTCGATTTTTTTAAATCTTCGTAAGATTAAAAGCTGCCTACATTAGGTTTTTTACTATCTTAAAATAAGTGTAAGTAATGCAGCATGAAGTACTATTAAGTATTATGCTTAAAAGTATCCTATTGCTAGTACATTTTTGACACCTTTTCTAATTCGTTATTATCTTTTTTTTAATATTATTAAAACGGGCTCATCTGATGTGAGATACCGCCGCCCATGGACACTCACATTGCCGAAAGGCTCGCAAATGCGTTGCCGGCCTTTCAAGAATTGGTACTCTTTTTTTTTGAAGGACCCTAAGTCAAATAGGTTCGGTGGTCAGGTGGTTCCACACAGTGGTGGTGCGCGGCAATTACTGCCTTAAACACACTCAGTTGTGGAAGGACGGACGTCGAGGTGATACGGTTGGTATTTTGTATTCTGCCTTGACGTCCGATACTGAAACTCAGCTGCAGGTTCGAACAACTCCTCTGAACACTCTTCATGGTAAATGCGGTAGAAGATGCAGAGAGACCCCACACCCCACCCCACTCTACCGCCAGAGATCAAGCCGCAAGGAAAGTGACTGGTCTTTGACAGTCCGAATCGCTCTTCTTAGAATACGGTAAAGCGGAAGGAGCTGGTACTGTGGAGCTCTCAGTCAATCAATATCATTGTGGAAAAATTAGATTTAAAACAAACGCAAAAAAAGCTCATCAAACATCGATGTAAATCAAAGAAGATTTAAGATTCTTCACTCTCACAAATTTATGAAATTAAACTCATCAATCACAAAATCGGCATTTTCTCCTTCCTAATCTTTATTAAATGATTTTCAAAATATAATAGACGGTCTACGGACGGACGGAATAAAAGGTCAAATCAGCGTAAACAGTTATTTAAAATGGTGAATATTTAACAAATAACTCTTGAAAATGTATGTCGTAATGTAAAATATACAGAAAATTAACCAAAACACATCGTGTAACGTAAGCTCCAGTACTTAAACTCTTTGCCTCATAAACTTGACAAGCCTAAATCACAAAACATCAATTCTTAACGAACCAATTTGTGCTGGCCCATCCACCCTACAATTACCACGACAGCTGTAGACTTGGATTTAAAACTGGAGCTCTTCAAATTCTGGTCGAGCATTCGAGTGTAAAAGCACTCGATGTCTGGAACTTTTAGCAACTATGTCGACAGACTTTGTTCGACGAGAGAGTTTCTTGCCTGTTATATACAAGTAAGTACCGAGAAGTGACCCTTGTGACACTCCGTACCACGGTATATCGCTCCTATTTTCAAGTATAATACGTAATATAAAACTTTGATGACACTTTGAACGTTGTTGCTTTAGCTTGACTTATTTATACCGTTTTCGTAATCAAACTTTATCAACGCAAGTTTCTAATTGAATATTCTTGTAATAACATGTTCACTTTTTAATCTAAAATGATGTCATTACCAAACTTTCAATTTAGAAAGTTAATGATACATAAAGTGCAAATAATGATGTCTGATTGTACGTGTAATTAGTAAAATATTACGAGTAAAAGTAAAAAAACTATTTGCAAAAAATAACTGTATGAAACTATATTCGTTTTTAAATTCGAGTATTAATTGAGAACACCTTTTTAGAAAGGATCTCAATCTAAACCTATATAGCGTTTATCTTTACTAATAATTTAATAATTGCTGTTTGCAATCTTACAACACAATATATTTATCAGTATCTTTTTTGTTTAACAAAAACAAATAGTCACAGTCGATATCAACATAATTTGAATTTATCTATGTTAGTACTATTATATCTTTGGAGGGATGGCACTAGGACCTAGTTTGATTCTGATAAAGTGTATTCCTTGAAAATAATAGAAAAATACCCACAAATACGATGCACTTTTGTCTGGTGCCCTACGGGTATATAATAAAGGAGGTATGTAAGAAAAACTTACTGTTTTTATCCAGGATTGCTGCATTGTTGCTCTTGAGTCTGATAGTCTTAGCAGGCTTCTTCACCTTGTTGAGGACATCTGAGAGGCTGATCTTAATCGGTTCGGGTTTCTCTGTCTCTTCCTCAACGATGCTGGCTGCTACAGTAGACCAGTCTACGTCTTTCGCGTCTTTACCACGGGAGATACCACGGAGTTCTTCCCTGAAAAGCAATATTTATTTTAGCAACAACTTTTTTCATCATTGCCGGTAGGTCTTGGCCTCTGATTTCTGTAACTGTTTCGTGATTATTTGCTCTTCTAAAATGCAAGTCTTCTGTGCCCAACACAGTCAACTTTTTATGTCTAAGGCGTACTGGTTTCCTCACGATTTTTTTTGATGATGATGATTCACCGAACGAGTAAGTGTTAAATGCGCACATAGTTTACGGCCGGGGTTCGCACCTACGACCTCAGAGATAAGAGTTGCCATTGAACTAAAATAATATTTATCTGTAATTCCAAGTATTTATTTTATCACACAATACTACACTTTGGTATCAAAAAATTATAAGATGAAACACTATGCCAGTTCTATTCCTACATATTTTGTATACAATACAAACTTTAATTAAAAAGCTATCCATTTCAGATTTCTTTATATTGTAGACAGTTGAAAACTTTTAGAGGTAATAAATCGTGGAAAACTGCTGAGATCAGCAGTTAATAGAAGCGAGCACACTTTAAATTTCTAAAACGTACCAACTTTTCTCTTGTTAAAGTTCGTGGATTGAATAACATTTGGAGAATCGTTTATTACTTCCGCATTTTAGTTATTCTCGACATCGCAATTACCGGTTGGAGAATAAGTAACGAATTATTTTAAACATTAATTAAAAATTGTGTATAGAAGCGTATAATATACACATTTAATTCGTGGTTGGTTTTGGTAAAGATAATTGATAACATTTCAATATTTAAAAACAATAAATATGATATTTCTTCTGTAAGTTTTATAATGACGTCTAACGGTACTATGTGGATACTGCCAACATATGCAGTGTTGGCTAAGTGGCTTGAGCGTGCGAATCTCATTTCTGAGTCCATAGGTATTTATTATGCAATACATTATTCTAAGTGCGCATTAAACACTCGCCCGTAATGTGAAGGAAAACTTTGCGAGGAAACCGCCTTAGATCCGATGGTCAACGGCGTGTTTTAGGCACAAATGCCTTGCTTATGGAAAAAACAAATGATTACGAAACAGATATAAAGAAAATACAATTAAAATTTAATTTAATTGCTGAGCAGAAAAAAAATACCAGCAAAACAGCAATTAACAATTCCTTTTTTAAAACTGATTAACCCACTACCGAATATATCCAGTCTCCAAATAAGTACTGTTTAATCCATTATAATCGTGAAGAATTCGAAAGATAGGTGCCTGAACGAGGTTGGTTTTTGCAGACGGAATTTTCAAAATTTTGCTGATTTTAGACCTAGGGAATGAGTAAGGGACGACAATGTTAATGTTCCGTAAGAGGTCAGTGCTTTGTATTTGATTATTTAGTTTATACAAGAACGTAACACCGGCTAAAGATCTCCGATCGTACAGTGATATCATGTTAAATTTCTTAAGTCAGTGATGGTTCGGGTGTCGAGTAAATAGCTTTTAATGAATATATAATATACATATTTGTTGTACAGTGTACCAAAATACAGACTCATTCCAAATACCTGCCTGTTTATTTTTTCCACATTGGTATAAAAACATCGTAAAGAAATATTAAATCGTTCAGTTTTCATTGCCAACAATTCTTTTTTATTAGATGGAAAATATTTTAAGGTAAAATTTATATTATAACAGTCGAATACTCAAATGTTTTCTATACAAAACGAATCATACGGTGCGACCCTTCGAGAGATATCAGATAAATGTATATTTACGGAACATTAACTTTTCTTCGCACCATTTCATACAAAAACGAATTGTAATAATTTTCTCCATTATTATTATTATATTAAATAGCTACATGTTGGTAGTGTTCTGTGTATGTACCGTTAACATGTCAAATGGAAGAGAAAGTTTTTTTCTTTATTTTTATTATTTCTTTCATTTATAACAGGAATGTATATTTTGTACTTCATGTATAATAATTAGCTATTCAAAGGGGGAACGCTGTCAGTATCTTCGAAACTTTGCCTAAAGGGACTCCTTTTAATAATATATTTAAGTTATTGTTTTTCGGTTATTAATTAAAACGTAGATGAATAGCTAAATTCTATATGGTCTGTAGTATTAAATAGTTTTAATTATTATAATGATATCTGTTTTTTTATTTAGTTATCTACGACAATTTTTGTGTGCATTTTGTCCCAGAAATCTGTCGTTTTTTGAACCAAAAAAAAAACAACGACCTCTACCAGACACAGATACTGATACCAGAGACTGATGCATGTGAAAACAGGCAAATGTAGAATAATGGGGTTGGTACATAATTATAATTATACGATTTTTTTATATACCTATCGTAATCTTTTCTACAGACTTCATTTAAAATCACAAAAGGTATGAATTATGAAATAGAGTTACCCAGTTATTAGCCAGGGGTCCAGGCTCTTAAATTTTTCCTAAGCGCTGTGTCTAACTCAAAGAAGAACTAACTAACTAATTCGGTATCTGCATTACATACCTCATTGCTCCAATGAGCGGGTACTTGACATTACCACCGCAGGCAGTTCCACTAAAGTCATCCATGTCAACAGTCCACACCATGGCTCCACCAAATCCATTATCCTTGATCCACCTAGAACATATTATTTATTAGGCGTCGTTTATGGAGGTCGTAAGTGATTTTGTTTTCCTTTGAAGATAGTTTATAGTAACGATATATTGCTATATGCGGAGTTGTACATACATATACATTATACATAGAATACTAATTCTATATATTTATAAAAATCTATACACATGGTAAGTGGTATAGTGTTGTAAGTACAGTGTATACTCTTTATAACGTCAGTCGTTATAATGAAAAAGTCTCTATACCTTTAAATTTGTTTGGTTTAACACAAACCCCATACATTAAATCTTCCCTCCCTATAACGAAACTTCTCTATGACAAATAAAAATGCTCGGTCCCTTGAAATTCGTTATAAAGAGTTTACACTGTATTAGAAATAAACGTGTTAATAAATATATGTTAATAAAAATATATCTTATATTACAAAATTACTGTATATTTTAAAAGGGTCGTACCAGAGAAACATACAAGGAACAATTATAAGAGAATGTATGCAAAATATTTCATTTTTGTTTAAAGTTTATATTAATACTAGCAGACCGGCCAAGCGTTGCTGTGGCTAAGGTTTTTGTTATATTACATAGTAGCAAACTATTCAAGGGAATCGGTAGGAGAACACCAGTCATGGGGACCACCATGCTTTTTTGGTGGTTATGCCATTAAATACTAGCTTATGTGAAACGATGGTACTTTCAACACAGCGCCATCTGTTAGAATTGTGACTATCAAATAATAAACAAATATTTTTCAATAAAATAATATTGCGGGTATAAATTGAGATGTAAGCTATCCTATCTTTTAAGTTGGATTAAACTACACACGGTGTGCAAATTTGATTGATATCGCTTTGGTAGTTTAAGAGTCCATACTGATGTTTTTACGGTAATTGTAACCAGTTAAACGTTATTACTTACAATTTAAACCTACAGAGACATTAGTCTCTCATGGACTCACGCACATACACCCACCCACACAAATAAAGAAACACCAATATTAATTATATTAGATTTTACAGGGGTTGGCCGTGACATTTTTCTGATTATATATATTTAAATTTATATTTTTGCTGTAACCTCAATGAATATATCTTATATTATTGTATGTATTGAGCAGTGGTAGTAGTTCGTACCCTGGGTGTGCACCAATGGACTTGACAGCGTGTGTCAGGCACAGGAGACCGATCACCTACCTGCCTCTTAGATTGACCAATTATACCGAAATCTGAGGGCCAGACCTAAAAAAACTTACCTCATTTTATTTCTAATAGATTTCTCATCGTCAAATCCGATCCATTGGTCTCCGTGGACCGCGTATGGGACTTTCATCTCGTCATCCCAAACGTATGCTCCACCATTTTGCAGTATTTCACAAATCTACAATAACATTTATTTAATTAAACCAAACTATATATATATGAGACTGAAGAGTAACACTATTATTTATAAATATGCTAAAACAGTGGATTTGTCATCAGCAATCAAACGCGTTGTTAACTTTATTTTTTATTTATTTATTTACACTTTGTTGCTTTATGATATAAAAATTTAACAAAATTACAAGTAAAGGAAAGGCAAGTGGCGGCCTTATCGCTTTCAAAGATCTCTTCCAGGCAAGAAAAGTAAAAAGAAAATGTATTAAATTACATAAGGTAGGCAAAAAGTGCAAAAATACATGTATTACATATACTTGTAAAGAAAAAGAAACTAAACAGGAACAAAAAAAAAACAAACTAAACTAATAAAGGATACCTCAAAAAAAATAAATAATAAAAAGTGCACATGAATCATTTTAATTTATTATTATATACAAAATTATAAAACAAATATTCGTTTAGACTTTAGAGGAACCCAAATCTTTGTTTTTAATTTATTTTATTATTATTAATTAACTATTAATTACTTAAGATGTCATGTGGAACATGGTATAATGGTTGCAGCTCGTTACAAACATTTTGTAAAACAAAAAACTTGGCGATTAAAAAGAGTGGCGGAGAGTTTATTGCCAGTTCGTCTCTTCCGTTCTACGTCCTTTGAGAACTGGCAGTAAATGTAAAATTAGAAGCATTTAGCATTTAATATGTATTTATTTTTGACGTTCATAAGTGTACATCGTGTTACCTAAATGAATAAATGATGTTTGATTTGATTTGAATGTGTTTCGCCCAGTTAGGTGTAGTGTGTTTACCTGTATTCTTATGAAGAAAATATCAAAGAGGCATAATAATAATATAACTGGCTTTAGCTAGGCATCTTAAAAATATTAGCTTTGTGCTTATTTACAGTCACATAATGTTACAAATGGAAAAGGACGAAGGGTATCTAAATGTTTAAAAAAGCCACTCAATACAATTACTTTCGGGACAGAAATGGAGTCTCGGGAGGAAAATCGCAAATTCCCGCTCGTTTATAACCGTGTAAATTGCGAATTAGAAAAGAGTGCTTCTTTATCAAACCGTTAACCTTGGAGGAAACTGTCTTGGCAGGTTCGAAACAGCCGTTTTGTCTCAAAGAATGATAAATACGCGTTTACACTGAGTCGTCACGATTTATCGTATCGGATCTTAAATTACTGTCATGATGTCATGATTATTTTCTAGGCAATAATATTGCCTAGAAAATAATCATGTCAGAGAAATTATCAGGAAATATCTGATCGAGTCAATTAACCGTTTTGTTGTTGCCTTGATTAATCATTGAGATTTCTTCTATTACTTTTAAGAATCATTATTAAATATTTTTTTTTTATTATCTAATTGTTTTATGGTTTGGAATTTTCATGACTTAACGAATATTGTTATGACCAATCAGAGCAGAGTGGGTGCCTATCTTGGCTTTTGATAGTACGTTCAGGGAAAGTGAGATGGAGGAGTAAGTGGAACATTGTGATCATGAGAGTTTGGACCGAGTTCTTCGGCTGCTTGGTATAATTTAAGCTAAAGTGTTATTTGTAGTGTTAAAAGGAATCAATCTAAATTAAATACTGTACGATAAATATTCGTGTCTTCTGTGCTCGGACTTTACCCAGATGACGCCCACTGCGCCCGCTAATAACGACGTCAATATAGATAGAATGACGATATTTCTCCGACACAAATATAACTCTACTGCTAAGTATTTTGAAACATATATTGTATTCTTTTAAGATGACAAAGACTGGACCCATTCCGAGATTTTCTTGATTATAACGAGTTTTAAATACGCGTCTATAATTTGCGTGTGTGTATGTTAGGATTGTATCTCCTTAACCAATATTTAGCCAACCATCGATTATGATGCGTTTCTGCTTATAATAACGTGAATTAAATGGTTTTTAGATAAAGTTTATGAACAATTGTTCAGGCGTTGCAATGTCTTTTTTACACGCAAAATATTATATACTTTAATTTCAAACAAAATGTGTTTTATGAACACCCGCATATACTGGTCCCACTGGGTTACTCTGACGATAGAGCACAAACATTGTTTGCTCAAAATAATAAATTTTATATTATTTGCTATAACACTATGTTGTCCAACTTCATCTTTGACAGTTTTTGCGTGTATTTTGAAGAAAAAAGTTTTTAATTTTACATATACTGTCGAATCGACGTAATGCAAACGGTATAAAGTAAGATTCAAGCAATAATTTTTAATTAAAATCACCTCATAGTATGCGAGGAAGCCTCCTTCCTTTGTGTATTCGCCAGCCTTGCCTCCCCCACTCGCCGGAGAATTCACTTTGAAGTTGTTGACATTTGACAAAGTGAAAGTGCGCCCGTACGTTGGCATACCTGGAAGATGAGAAGACATTTTACTTTGTATTTACATTGTACTGTTTTAAGATCCAACTTTCCAATATTAGTGTTTTATAAATTACTCACAAATGATTGTACTTTACTTTATTGTATTATAATGTGCGTCTGTTATACGTGCCCTAAGGCTATCTGCCAAAACTTCTATCTTCACTATTAGCTGTACTGCCGGGGCGCTAAGTGAATTGCGTGTTTGATATATTAAGTCCCTAAATAAAGGATAGGATTCTGTTGGGACTGCCTCGCTTCAGTGCCTTAGGAATTGGCCACTCATATTGATGGTTTCTTGGCAATCCATTGGAAATATCGGTATTTCTTTTATGCAGATATCGAGTAGGAACAGGATCGTCAGTACTTGTGACTGTACTTAGTCACAAATTGTTAGGAAGTGCATACCGTTCGGGATTCATTTAGGAATCAATTTATTAGTTATGGTTCACTATTTTGGCTATAATGGCTTACATAATAGATATAGATATATACTTTTGCGGGCTTTTGTTGTAGGCCTATTAAAAATAAACATTTTGATCATACATTATATATGTGTAACTCTAGCGGTTCTGGTAGCATTTTTTCCTACTTACTTGATATTTTGGACAATTCACACAATATCTTTATAAATTGTAGCCTATGTGTAACTCTGATGTATAAGCTATATTATTGTAAAGTTTCATTAAAATCCATTTAGTAGTTTTTACGTGAAATACTAACAAACATCCATCCATACAAAATTAGTTTTTACGTTTTTAAGAATAAAATGATTTGTACTATTACTCTATAATCTGCGTGATTGTTATAGACGTTAACAGACAAAAAAACCTAAACACTAAACGGATGGCGAGTTCATACTTTATTATTCTATACACATAATTAATAGTCAATGTATATTGTTAATAGATGCTTGCTAGAATTTGGCTAACATTTTGGTATGCAGTTATGTCTTGTCCTTCAAAGGCAGGGCGTAGGCTTTTCGACAAAGGCTTTGCATGACATACGAAACTAGGATCCTTAAGGACCACATTCTGATATAATTGAATTACTAATTGTTTACTATTTGTAATTATTTATTTTTAAATTAAGTTGTGTAGACGTGGATGAAACGTGTATGGGTGAAAGACATATATATACTTGAATGGACATTCAATAGAAAAGACGAGATTTCAGATTCAATAGAAGAGATTACTGAATTATTAGTTTGTTCTGGTAAATGAGGATCCAAGATATATACATTGAAAAGGAGAAAATCCGATTAGGTTTGAAACTTTGAAATTCCTTCTCTCTTAAAATATAACTATTAAAGTGTTTGTTAAAGAAAATAAATCTAGTCAAAACATTATACATAATACGCGTACATATGAAACAAATAATTGTCGAAATGAGGTCCAGTTCAGGGGACTTTTGTTCTCATTATATTTAATGAAAGTTCCTAGTATTAAAGTATATATGTAAAGAAATAATTATATTCATTAGATTAGATTATTGATTATCTATTGTGTTAACTGATGTTTCATTTAATTTGTTTAATAGTCTGTGGAAAAGATGCTAGTTTTGGCATTTCGTTTAAATATTAATACCAAGATTTTTTTTGTTAGAAAATTTTTTATTATTAAAGAAAAAGGATAAAAGTGATTGTTTTCAAATAAATAAAAACTGTAAATGTTTGTTGTTGAGTTTCAAAATTTTAAATTCCTTTTTTTTAAACAATATTTAATAGTTATATTTTACGAGAAAAGGAATCTCAAAATTCTAAGACGAATTTCGGTTTTACTTCTTCTCGATTTATATAACTTACTTCTTTGAAAAACCACTTCAGATTCTTGCTAAATAAATAACTAACCGATAATTAATTTTTCCTTAGGGGCTCCCAATTTGACCCATAGATGAGACGCGTGGTCGACAGAGAGCTGCTTCCTCCACTCAGAGTCTGATGATGGGGAATATAGTGGTGCGTTGTGACCAGTCTCCTTCTCCCACTTGCCGTGGAAATCGTAAGCCATTACGTTGATGAAGTCCAGATAGCTGAGAAATTGGTTTCATTAATATTTATAACTTTTAAATTGAAATAAATATCCTCGATACTGTCACTACCTTGTTAATGAAAAAATTTAATTTACTATCAAAACCAGAATTTTCTTTTAGTGAAATTAAGTGGGATTTTAAAAAAAAATCATACAAAATTGGGGATAAAGAAAGATAAAATAAAAAAATCTTCTTGAATACCTATGAAATCTGTTTGAAATTGTCGTAAGAATAAGATAATCATTATTGAAAGTAGTATAAAAAAAAGAGAATTGTATTAATGAAGATATGATTGTTTATATAAACAATGATGGAAATACAATGTGTGTGAGAAGTTTTTACGATTGAATGCTTAAATGATTTCACAATTACCATTATTAAGGCCAGAATAGAGAATAAAATACTCCCAAAAATGTGTTAAATGCATTTTACACATTTTAGGGAGTATTTACTGATATATATATATATATAATACGCTTTGTTTCAATTATTACTATTTCTACGTTGAAAATATCAAACTTTATTAATTATAACTTCCAATATCGGATCCCGACATTTTTGGATAATATAGGATGTAGTTCTTAATATCCACAGCGCTGATTCCGCCACCTTCAAATCGCGCGGAACAAAAACTGAACATTGAATGGGAAATTTGAAATCGCTATTACTATTGGGAGTTACAGGGCACCGATGCTGAATCAAACAATTGACTCCCTCTCTTCCAGGATAGAAGTCCTATTGACTTGTTGAAAATATCGTAAGCGTTATCTTACCTAGCAACAGCAGGAACATCGTATCCACTCTTAATGTTGTCGGGGCCGACTGGTACAGCAGCTGTAAGCAGCAATCGTGGCTTCTTCACCTCCTGAGCTTCAGCTTCGAAAGCTTCTCTAAGCTCTGAAATAACAGATAATATATTAATACGGTTTAGTGTTAAATGTCGTATAAGCTAGGGCGGGTTCGTTTCCCAGTGACACAATCATATTTTTGGGTTAGTAGATTTATACTGACTACTTTCCGGTAAAACATATCTATTAAACAGACTGATTTATATTTTTGATCGTAGTTAAGGAGGTCAATAAACTCAAATCTATTTGATGACATGTCAATCTTTCTGGATAAAGTGTGACATAGGTATTTGACAGTGATAGTGACAGTTTAATATGTAAACGCTACACAAGAACTGTATTTATGTAAAAAGTAGGTAGTTCACGAAGATAAACTGAATATGTACAATAAAAACACATTATTTAGAGATATGAGACACGAGCGAGGCTCAACTAGATATTGTATTTGCTGCTATTCCCACACGTGTGGAGCTTAGTGTGTGGCCATAAGCAAGGCGAGTTATTCAAAAGTTACGAGGTAACTGAAATACCTTTCCTACAATTATCAGCCATCATCCATCAGACTCCGAGAACCGTGGGATTGTAAAACAAAAGTCAAAACAAAAAAAGACTTTCATTTAATTGTGATTGGTCACAACATAATCTCTAGTCCAATCACGATGTCCTAAAGATCGTTTGTCCAATCACAATTAAACGAACCACGCCGTCGTTCATGCGTGTTCCTTAGATTACTTTGATATATGATATGGCGGAGAGTTTATTGCCAGTTCTTCTCTTCCGTTCTACTTGATTTGGGAACTGGCAGTAAATGTAAAATTAGACGCATTTAATATGTATTTCTTTTTGACGTTAATTAGGGTACATTGTGTTAACTAAATGAATAAATGATTTTGATTTGATTTATCGCTACAGGCATTTGCTTAAAATGTAAATAGCTTTTAACAGAATACCCAAAATGCAACTAAACAATTAATGTTAATAATAAAGAAATTAAAATTGATTGAAACAATAACAATTAAAGATTATAAGCTAATAAAATTTAGTTTAGTTTTTAAACTGTTTAGTTATTTTCTTAATAACTATTTGTAATGTGTGTTTTTGCACTCCTTGCCTATTTTATCTCACAGTGGTTGCCTGGAAGAGATCGCTCGAAAGCGATAACGCCACCAGTTGCCTTCCTTTTCATTTAATTATGTTAAATTTTTATATTGTAATGCAACGAAGTGTTAATAAATGAATAGATAAAATATTTAAGTTGGCAGGTAGATAGTATCGGTGACCCAAGAGCTGGTGCTTTCCTCGCTCAACTTATATTATTACTATGTAGGAATATTGTAAATATACAATATCCTTGTGTTGGAATGACGCTGGTTTATTTGCTCAATGCTAAAAGGCTTAGTGAGAGGATCATCCAAATAAGTGAGCGGCGATAAATTCCGTTCATTGTTAAATCTGTTTTGTGCTATTTTACTTAAAGACATTCACAACATATTTTGTCTATAATATATATACAGTTAATGCTACTGGCATCATTTCACAAGATACAATAGGCAAGTGGACAAGGAATACCGGGCCGAATGCAGCTGGTCTATTTTGGATGAGGGTGGCCAGGTCAGATGGGAGAGGAAGAAGCTGGAGGAGACCTATATGTCTACATAACACGCTGACTTTGATCCAAAATAGATATTAGTGATATGTTATAATTATTGTTTATGAGCAATATAGATTTTTATATTGTATTGGTATCATTTCATTATTAACAGTGTTGACCTAGTTCAGCGTGCGACTCTCTCCCTGACGTCGTAGGTTCGATCCCCGGCTGTGCACCAATGAACTTTATGGCATCTAACATTCGCTCGAACGGTGAAGGAAAACATTGTGAGGATAGCGGCTTGCCTTAGACCCAAAAAGTCGACGGCCAGTGTCTGTCCAGAAAGCTGATCACCTACTTGCCTAGTAGATTGACAAAAGATCATGAAACGTTTGAAGCGCCACTGATTTACTTTTTTTATTTTATCATTGCATTATATGTATAATATTCTTAGAAACCAATAATAATACAACGGTAAATGTTGCTTTTTAATGACCAATTAAGTTTCCGTGACATTTAATTTAATTACAAAAAAACATTTATTCATAAAATAAATATATATGAAATGCTTCTAATTTTACATTTACTGCCCGTTCTCAAATCTAGGGCGTAGAACGAAAGAGAAGAACTGGCAATAACCTCTCTACCACTCATTTTAATCGCCCAGGTTTTTGTTTTAGAATGTTTGTAAGGAGCTGCAACCATTACACCACGTTGCACATGAAATCTTAAGTAATTAATAATAATAAATTGGTCAGTTAAAAACTGACTTGCTGTTACGGCGTTGGTGTTACTTTAGGTTTCAGGAGTAAGACTCAGATCTCGACTCTGAATTAACACTACATATGAATCATCTGTCAAAAAGGTCAAATCACTCTACCAAAACACTTGAATTGAATACTTTATATGAAACTTGAATGCGATAAATTAAATAAATTACACTTGGCCTTTTATGATAAAATAAATGATTCATGATAGTTGAATGAATATTCATTTGTTATGAATATAATAAAAAGCTTCTAAAACAATAAAACATAAAGATGAGCAAAGTGATAATGAGGCCACGAAGTCGTGCAAAATAAAACAGTCTTCATCTTGCAAATGTCAGGGTCGATGTGAATTTGTATAGATATTTATTTTAATTGTCAAATGTTAGTCATAATATTTGTGTTGCTTTGTGTTTCGCAGATTAGGAAATATTGTCCCGTTACAATTGCAAAGGGAAATTAAAATTTTAAATTTAAATAATTACATTCTATTAATGATTTGTGTGAAACATTATAATTAATATTAATTTTATAATATATTTTAGTAATAAAAAAGAAATCAGTAACAACCTTTTTAGGTATCAGATTTTTTAATCTGTTTCATGAACATTTGTAAATCTATTAGATCGAGAACAGACAAGAACCTACGACCTCAGGGATGAGAGTCGCACGCTGAAGCCGCTGGGCCAACACTGCTCTATATATTTTAATACTGTCATAAAATAATATAAGAATTGACTATGATATGACTCATATTTTAATATAATATATAACTTCTATGTAAAATTCTTCCTTTTAAGACAAATTTGCACGCCATTATGTGTGGCAGAATATGCGAACTTCTTCCTTCTTTCTTTGAAAGTATTATTATTATTTGTATTTATTACCTAATCTAGTTTATAGTCCTTTATTTATTTATTTTCTCTTTTATAATTGTAATCCTTTAAATGTTGTACACACTTGTTATTGATACACTGTGTGTTCTGTCGGTATGTAAGCCGTAAGTGTGCCTTTTAAAAATAATTAAAATAAAATAAATAATAACTTATAATTTTTCAAACACTTCTTATGGTTTTCGCATTTAAAATAAAAATATTAGGTGCTGCACACAAACCATACAGGCAAGATACGATGATTTTTATCGCAATTACAGAAAATCTTGGTAGGTACAATTTACTGCTCGAACTTAAGCGATTGATACGGATTGTTTGTGATGACGTCAGCTTTGATCATATAGAATAATTAAGCCTTTCGTATGTGCTGACTGTTTTAATGAGCCTCTACATTGTTGGACAACTGTGGCAAAGGATATTTATCGTGCCATTTATAATATACAGAAAAAAAAGTTCTTGCATACAAAGTAGATACACATGTCACAAGTGAAACTTCTTTGGCAAACTAATTTTTACTCTTGTTCATATTTATACAAATCTAAAACTTTAGATTTCCGAGACTTAGAGGGAGGGCAAAAGGAAGATATGTTAGGAATTTAATGAATTTAATTGTCATAAAAATATTAAAAGTGTCGAAAATTAATACAAATAATAAATTTATTTATTTTTTTAAATTTATTTCTTTGATAATAAAAACACGTGGCATTTTAATTTACAATTCGTCATTTGAGATTTCAATCAATTATTTTACATAAAATATAAAATATACTAATATTTCTTAAATTATCTTTACGAAATTTTAATTTTAAAAATAGAATTTCGAAAAGGTAATTCACCCTTCTCACTCTCTCTCAATCGCTCTCTCTCTTTTCTTCGACAAAAACGCTGCACATCTTCGTGACGTTCCGTAAAAAAATTACCCTCATGCGCCTAAAGAAGTTTCACTTCAACAAATATGAAGAAAGCAAAAACTGTTGGTAGCGTCAACGTTCCTCCGGTGGTCCAGTGTTAAAATAAATATATATAAACTCCTTGTAAATATTATCTTGGCCTAATAATTATCAGGTCCTCCACCTGCTGGAGAAGACATTCGGAGGCCCAGACATGGATCACAGACCAAGCGAAGTGAGTGAGAAATTAATATCAAAGTTGAACATGTAGGAAAAATTGTATAAGAGTTAATACTATATATAAGTAAGAGTGACATAGTACACCATATATTGCCATACAGCCTTATATTGTGAAAAAAAATATAATTACAAAGGTAAGTTACTCAGAAAATCTTACAAATAAGTTAATGCCAAATTAATGTTATACATATATTTAATTAATAAAGAGCCATTTCTAGAATAAGCAGCCTCAACAATTTCGAAGTGCAAAGCTTTAGACTCGTGTAGTCGAGCCCCAAATACTAGTTTCGAGAACTAAGTTCCGAACAAGGTATTAACTTAACTAGCAGTCTCATGATTAATTCTTTGTTAAACAAGGTTGTGTGAGGGAATGAGCTACTAGTTTTGGCCTCGGTGTCGCTTACTACCTTCAATACTTGATGATTAGCCTGATTACACTGAAGAATTTTTTATGTAATAGGAGGCAAATGGGCAGGAGGCTCAGCTAATGTTAAGTGATACCGCCGTCAATGGACACTCACATTGCCAGAAGGCTCGCAAGTGTGTTGCCGGCCTTTCAAGATTTGGTACGCTCTTTTCTTGAAGGACCTCACGCAGGGACATTCCTGACTAGATTATTTCGAGGTACAGACAAGAAGAAGTACTAATTAGTTGAAAACATACATCAA